GCATTCCTCAGGATAAATGTCCTCCACAGAAAACTATTGTTATCACTGTGAAAACAATAGCACACAGCATGTGTCTCCTCCTCGCTCTCTCTTAAGGTATTTCTATTAGCAGAACTGAATGATTTGTTTGGAAGGTTTATCTCATATTACCAACACAGAAGGCAAACGATCTGACTCAGAGTTCACTAATACTGGTTTATCAATGTTTGCCTGTGATTTATATGGTGATGATAAGCCTGCAGATTTGACAATAGAAAGCAGACGGAGGGAAATGTGGTGCTTTTTGCATTAGCTCAGATCCATCCTGTCTAAGAGCATAAACTCTTAAACTTTGCGCACAACTATTAGGCAAGTCTTATCTTTCAGATTATTTTTATCAATCACCAGCTACAGTGGTCTTAATTAATCCAAAACATTGGATTAATTAAACATGAATATTTTAGAAATACTAGAAGTGAGGTTTTGGCTTCCTTAGAAAAATATCAATATGTGCATAATTATTGGGCAACTATCGTACAGAACTATTACACAGCTAACTGAAAAACATTTTTCCCATGTCAACTTTTTTTATTTTGATCTCTTTAAATGAGAAATGTAAATCGTACAACTCAAAGCTTTTCCAATACATAGTTGTTGACATAATTAGTTCTGTTGTGGAATATAATTGAGCGTAGAGATTGAATGTTTTTGTTTAAAGGACGTGGTTCATTCCCACTGTTGCCAGATGCTTAGTAAGGATAAAGTGTTTCTGTAAAGGTGAAGACTCAATCCAATTAACCAGGCTTCTTTAGACAGCTAACTTTTTTACCAATAGCTATTATAGCATCCACTGCATTTGACTACATTGCATTAGAATTACAGTATTTTATTTTATGTAATTGAATCCACATCTGTCTATATGACTGAAAAATAAACCGGATTTATGTCAGTTAATATAACTGGAAATGAATTAGACCTGTTTGTCTTGCCAAAGGCGTTGGTGTGGCGTTTACTGTGAATGGGTTTCCAGTCTGTGACAAGGCGACATGGAAACACACAAGACAGCCAACCATGCCCACACCCACTATTCAAAGTCAATTATACATCACAATTCAATCCAAATATAAACCAAATGTATCAAGTTTAGTTTATTATTTCAAATGGTAAAATTTCCTGCTAAAGAAACCCAGCTGACTGCAACAGGTCAGAGTTTGTCGTAGCCCCTCCTCCTGAGCATGAATGTGGCAACATCAGACTCCCTGTAGACAGGAAGAAACCTTCAGCAGAACTTGGCTCAGTGTGAGCATCCATCTGCCTTGGCCGACTGAGGGTTTGAAGTTAGTTGGACTTTGCTGGCTCACACACTTTCAACATTGCTTTGTTTACAGTTATTATTAATTTGCTTTTTATCAACTTGTTCAGCACTTTTAAATTTGTAAAGTTCTAACTACACCTTTGGGGAATCTTTTAAAAAGTTTTACTAACAAATTTGTTCCAGAATCATTCAGATTACATTAGATTAGAATCATCTGCTCTTGTGCTTAAGTCTCTCACAGGTGTGGTTTTCCTGCTCTTTAGTGTTATGTTGTTGAACTGGGATCATTGTTTCAGTCCAGCATTATTTCCAGACAATTCCCCCATTACCAAGAGCTTTCTTTAATGGACAAATGTAAGCCGCGGGCCAACACAATCATTTTCAACTCTGCTGCTCTGTGAAATGACTCACCATTAGCTCCACTGAGGTAGCTGTCAACGCTCTAATCTCTGGCCTTTTAAAAAATCTAATTAAAGGAGAGGCTTTCAGGGTGTTTATACAAAAACATGGTCATATTCTTGAGAACAGTGGCCTTGTTGATGAGTAGGATCATTGAGGTTGCCCTCCAGTCTTTACAACATGTCAGATAGTTGATGGACTGTGAGGGAGGCAGGTTACCTGCATCATCCACCCAACCCCTCCACCCCCCATGCCACCTCCAACCCCCCTCAGGATGATGAGGGTGGTGGACAGATGAGTGTTGACTAAGTGATGCTGACACACCATTACTCGCCCACCTCTGTTTGGCTGAGAATAAAAATCCTGCATGTTTGTGTTCCCAAGTACAGCGTGCATGATTCCCACTGACAAAGTGGAGCGCAATCTGTTTCATGACATTAATCAAGAATAATTTATGTCTGACTGTATTTCAACAGATTTTAAACAAAGGAGAAAAGATGGACATCTAACTTGTGGCAAGCAACTTGCTTGTTAAAGATTATCTATTATACTTCCTTGGACAGGTTATACTTGCACATGAAAATGGCTGCAAACAGATTTGCAGATACACAACCACCCATCTTTGAAAAGCAGAAGTGAAGCCTCCTACACCACCAACAAGAATGCAGCAGATAGCCGGTCAACAACAAAAGACTTGTCTTTTCCAGCAGACATTGTACAGCACATACAGCGGTAAAACCAACTGACCAAATGTGCATGGAGCTTTTCTGCACCTTTTGTGGTTGATTTGAGCTATGACTGTCTAAGCAGAGGCTATAGTCACGAGAGTCTTAAGATCTCCCAGAATAGGCTGGCAAGTGTTGCTGGTGAAGGATGTTGACCTCCTCCTGAGCTGTTAATCCTACAATCCAATTTTGTATAAATAGAAGATAGGGGTATACATGGACAAAAAGGAAAAGAGAAAAGAAATCATGAGTTAGGACTTGTAATGATTAAAGAAAGGAGAAAAAATAAAGAAGAGGAGCAGAAGACATGATCTAGAGAAGAAAGAAGGTGAGTGGGTTATAAGTGAGGAAGAGGAGTTGAATGTTTGGTGTCAGCTTTCTGCCACTCTGCCTTTGTGAAAGCAGAATGGTAATGCTGCTGCTGCTGGGGGTTGAAAGTGGGTCTCTACCTGTGACTCAGTGGCCACAGCTGTCAGTCAAACTCAACCTGTGTGCCTGAGGAATATGGTAAACCTGCCAGTGTGGTCCCAGAGAGCCTGAGAGAAGGGAATCTAACAGAGCAGCAGAGTGACGGCCGAATCAGACTTTCAGCTGCTCGCTGCAGTTCAGGGAACACCTGCAGGTAAGAGACACAGAACATACCCCCATCTCTGCAACTGCTTTGTAGTTTTTTTAGAAGGTGTAATAGTATGCCAGGTTCTTCTACCTGCAGGCGATGTTGGAGGTAACTATTCAGTCGCTAACAGTGCACTTTTTCTCCTTCTCAAATTCCACTTCTCCACCTTTCATTTATTAGGTTCAAGAGGCTTTTTTTACAAGTTCAGACAAAACAAAGTTGGTTTATTTCAGACAGCTCTGTATCATATTTTATGCTTCTGTTTTCACACAATTAAGTACCAAATTTCAAATTCTGTTAATAAATGAGTTACTAGCAGGCATGTGGTTATTTTCAAGTGTCAAGTTTAAGAGTCTAATAGATGTTGAAAGAAATGATTTGTGTACAAAAAAGTAATAAAATGAAAGCAATTGCATAAACAAACATCAGACCAGATTTAAATCATGTTAAACTCGCCTCTGCTTGTCATGAACTGATAAATAACTGTACATAATTGAAGAAAGCAAAGGATATATGGATGGTTTTTGTTGGACTTCTTTAGCAATTCTGAGAGGGTGAGATCACAAAAAATTCAATTTGCAACATTACGTGCGTCAAAGGTGCCAATTGACACTCTTTAATTGAGGTGATGAATTTTTAGCACTTGAATTGGTTTGGTGAATCCAGCCTCTGATTAACTTCCTTACCTGCTTAAAAAGCATCCCAATGTGTGGTTGTTTGTTATCCGTCACACATTAAGATTGCATATAAAAAAATTCTCATCTGTAGTAGGTTTCTGTGTTCCCTACATGACTTGACCTACCTGGAAATTGGATTTGTTTTGATAAGAGATTGTGAGCTTGAGAGATTTTTTAGAACCTAACCCAGTTTTAAACTTCTCAACAACTCTTCCTTATGCATCTACTGTGGTTTTTGGTCTTCATTATGCAGTTTGTTCAATAATGCTCTCTACACCTCTGAGGTTGTATTTATTTGATATAATTACAAACTGAACTCTTATTTTCTAATTAGTTGACTATTAAAAGCATTTAGAGATAGTAAAGGGCACTAACTACCACTGAACCACACTTTTTCATATTTTAATTTTTATTCCACTTTTAGGCATAAAGTGCTGCCTTGTGTCTACAATATAAAATTCCAATAAATACGCTGAATGTTGTAGATGTAACGTGACAAAATGAGTGAAAGTAGTATTCACCTAATGGGTTAAATAGACAAATATGAATGTAATCACAACAAAAGTAGACGTAAAAATGAATTTTGTAGCATTAAGCTTAACCACAATGAAGTTTTTTTTATTTGACTACAATGGAAATGCCTCCTTTCACTTTCCATATTTATTAGGAATTTGGTGTTTATGTTTTTGCAGGTAAACTGCTCTGTTCTCTGTTTATGTAAATGAGGCCTTGATCTAATTTCTTTCTGGAGAACAAAAACTGATATATTCTGCAGTCCTTTGCCCTTTGTCTGACATGTATTTTATCCAGAAGGTTAAAATATTTTACTTCCTAGAGTATGCAGAATGATTAGGGAAAGTGAATCTAAATGACTTTCAGTAGGCAATAATTTGTCATTTTTACTTGGCTGCTTGTCTCACTGTTTGAAAGCGCAGCTTGAAGCTTTAATGTCTCTATTTTATGGCACATTGGCACAGGGTGCCATCTTTAATTAATTCTGGTAAGTGCCAAAAGTTCTGCCATTTTTTTTGCCAAAACCCAGCAGGAGTTGAAGTGCTACATAAATAAAATATAGCAAAATATAATAAAAAATAAGCAGAAATCTTTTGTTACCTGTAAATTTCTTTGACAGTACTGGAATATACTAAACATGTGCTGTTGGTGTGTTTTGGATGACTAACTATTTTTCTACTTCTTTAGTCCACATTGAAAATCAAGAAATTTATTAGATAGCTGCCAGGAAATGTAATTTAATAGCCACTCATAACCCAAGATAAATACTTATAGGTGCAAAAATTGTAAAGCATTTCCCATTTGCATCCTCTAATCCAGTGGTGTCCAAATGTTTTGCCGTGTCGGCCAGAAATGAAGTTTTATAGTTCCTGTGGGTCATAGAAAATAGATTGCTATTTAAGTAACAATACAAAACTATTTGGATTTTTTTTTACCAGCTCAAAAATAAACTAGACACGATATTTTAAAAGATTTTAAACGTGAGCTTTATTGAAGCTGTTGGCACACAGATGTCTCTAGAGTCTTGACAGACCACCAGGTAGATAATAAAATATCACTGGCAGAGGAATTGCCAGTTATTGTCAAGGCAGATAGCAGAAAATATTGTTATATATTATATATCTATCAATCTGGCAATCGGTATTGCCACATTGCCAGAATAAAGGGTTTCTTGTCAAAACAGGCCACAGAAAAGCTGGTGTGTGGCTTTATTTTCAGTAGGTTAGATTAACGGAACAATGTCTATGTGTAAGCTCATCCAAAATCCCTTAAATCAGGACTATAAACATCTAGCAAACCATCCTAAAACTTGGGAAAGTATAAATATCAACACTCACAGTTTCTTCCAACAGTAAAGAGATGATGAGAAGTGCTTAAATTGGAGGGAAGAATCAATGCATTATCACAGCGCTGGAGTTGTGGACTCATCCTGACAGCCTGTCTTTTCTCTGCACTGTCTAATTCAGCAGTGAAGAAAATCAAAACACCAGCTGCTACAACTCCTTTTGGCTTATATCAGCAAAAAAATTCCTTCCGTCACTAAAAACTGACAGATGCCACAGTCTTTGTGGTTACGTCTCTTCAATCTCAACTTACTGCTGCATGAACATCATGGTGGCAACACTGTACACCTTATACATTTTGAACAAGCAAATAAACGATGCTGACATATAAGCATATAAGATGTTATTTTCAGTATATGGAGAGGAGCTACTTTGGAACTTCTGATTTGTTTCAGTAAATCAGCAGATAGTTTTCATAAATAAATATTTTTTCAAGTATTTGTGCTTTGAGGATGGGATTCAAAGAAACATTGCTTCGACAGTAAAAATCAAATAAAGTTTGTAAAGGAATTTTATTTATGACTTGCAGCAGTTGCTGTAGAAAATACTTGTTAGACAATTGCGCATATGTCAGTCTGTCGACTTTGTTCTGATCAAACTTTGACAACTTGTCTTTTCTGTTCCCATCTTCAGTCAGTCTGAATTTTTCTCTGCTATTACCAATTCCTCCACACCAGAGCACAGCTTCTTTTTCTATTTGAATGTAGCAGAAACTTTCTAAAAGTAACTGAACAACATCTACAAAATGTAATACAGGTTCAAACTGATTGTCTGTGCCCTATCAGGTAAAACCTAGAAGATTTCCTTGTTTTTTCCTTGAGCACCACAAGGCTGCTGACATTTATAATTTTAAACAAGCAATGGTTAAAATTATTTTGAGTTGTTTTTTTTTTTTGAGTGTTTCCTTACATGGAAATGTTCTGAAAATATAATTAATTCCAAGGTGCTTTCTTACTGTTTTTTGCCTCAAATGATCAACTGACTGATGGAGTTTGGATTAAATATTTCCATTCGAGATACCATCAAAAATGATTCTCAGATTAATTCTCCCCATTATTGTTTGGAAATTCTCATTTGTCCAAGTAAAAAAATTAGTAAGTTACGTCGTCAGTCCTTGAAAAGCAAGTTAAGAAACTGAAGCCAACAAACTGAAAACTTCAAGAACCACAAGAAAAACTTAAAATTACAAACCCTTGTCATAAATTGCTGAAACACATGCAGCAAAATTAAATCGCATCATCACCAAAATCTTTGGTGTATCCATGTTATTGTGATTTAGCATTCGGTTTTGATGATTTTGTATCAAAAAATAAACTCTGGAAAAAAAAACCATTCTTGTAAGGTGACTCCCAAGGCAAACAAGACACTTTTGAAGCATCATGTCCTGCAGTCACAAGTGCTTTATCTGCTGTCACAGCATGAAAGAGAGTTTTCTGTGAATGGGGAGTCATGTGATTTCTGACACTCCCTTTCAAAGAAATCAAGAGAAAGCATGCAAGTTGAAGCTTTACTGTTGGAATGGTGTGACAAGAACTCTTGAGGGTAACATTGGTTTGATAAGATAAAACATAGTTCAAAGCACCAGAGTGCATTTTGGGTGATTTATTCACTGGTGATGCTACTGAGACGTGAACAAATTCAGAAAAGTCTGATCAGATTTACGTCTTGGGTTTTCTTCAAATAAAAACGGTGTAACAAACACACTGAGCTTTTATTAATAAAATAATAATAATAAAAGACAACCTGGAATAAAGTTAAAGGAATGACTGTTGTTTTTATCAGATGTTCCTAAATCATACAAAGCTTCACTCACAACCAAAACATGTTTATATTAGTATATTTGTTTAGACGAGTTATCTGAATCTGAGGGATTTTCATATTTTGTCACGTTACAACCACAAACTTCAAAGTATTTTATCTTGAATTCATGTGACAAACCAAAATAAAGAAAGGATAATCATAAAGTAAAAGCAAAATGATAAAGTTTTGTGCAAACAGAAATCAAAAAAGTTTGGAGTGCTTTTCATATCAACTCCTAAATGTAATGCAAAGCAATAATGGTTAATGAATGAAAGAAATGCAGAACTCATTCCACAACCCAGAAAAAGTTAAAATATGTTTACTGATAAGCACAGATTCTTCGAAAGGTAGAGATTTGGCTGAGTCAACACTGAACGTTGTTTAAAAATTAAACAGGATATCTGGTTACCAGGGATTGTTTCACCCACTGTACCACATAGAGAAGGAACGCCTATTCACTTAAAACCAAAGATGATGACATAAGAGGTAATTGTTTCTCCTGTCAAGTGGCAGAACATTAATCTAGTTGGTTCACTGAATGAACTATAGCAGGTAGTTTAACCATCACGACTAGTACATGCAATTACTTGGGAACATAAGGTAAGGTAATTTTATTTATTTTATTTATTTTTTATTTAGAAACAAGGCAATTCAAAGTGCTTTACATGAGTTAAAAGAAAATACAAACAAAATAACAAACCAAAGGAAAAAAGAGGAAAGAAAACTAATCTAATGTTGTTCTAAAGTATGTAAACTAATTGCTCCTGTTCAGGGTCGCTAAGTATCTAATTCCATTTCTAAATACTGAGTACTCTACAGTTTCTGGTAAAATAAGCTAAAGAGTGACTGATCTAATTCCTTAGTAACCTAAGCATTATTTTCTGGGAATATCTTTCTTCAGAAGGAGCAGGAAAGCTGGTCAAAGTTTGATAAAGATGGATGGAGCTAAATCCAGGGTGATCCTGAAAGAAATCCTATTAGAGGGTGGAGAGACCCAGTAAGTTCACTTTTACACAATTCTGACAGCAACAGATAATTGATTTTGCTGAGTAAAGAAAATAAATATTAAAGAAGTTAAGGCGGTCTGTAAATGCTCTGTAAAAGTGTGGTTATCTGTTCTGAGTACTCTGTCCTGCTGAGTTTTAGTCTCTCAGTTTAATATGCTGATAAGCAGTCATTCATTTAAGCTTTTTTGGGAAGCTGAAGTGTGAAAATAAGGAACAGAAACTAAGCGAGACAACTTTATGAACAAGCAGAGAAGTTAAGACAAGAATAAATCACACACTGCATACTATTTAAAGTTGATGGTGTTTCTGCTTGGACAAAAGTGACCTCAAAGATCAACTAGAAGGCATTGGGATAGGTTTTTCTACACCAATCAGTGTGAAACAGGAACATCTGGAACATCCCATTTGTGCATTTTACATGAATCTAGTTTTCTATGTTGACCAGAAGTCGGTGGAAGCATTTTTGACCTCAGCTTTATTCAGCATGAAGACATTTGAAGTGGAAAATATGTATGTATGTTTTTTTTGTCATTTAGATTAATCAGATGTTTTACTAATGTGGATTTTTTTATATTTGGTTTAACACTAGTCATGTCCATTTAAAGTACAGTGCATTATGGAGTTAGAATACGTTATTCATGCCAATTTTAAGGGGTAATATAAGGTATTTGGTTGATCATTTTCTACAACAAAAAATGTTTTAATTATTGTGAATTTACAATTTCAAATTGCAAGTATTAAAGTTATGCTTAATTAACATGACTGAACTCATTTTAACAGAGTTTTTGGTTCATGCAGAGAAACTGCAAAAATGTCTAATTTTATTAAAAACTAACAGCAAATAAAAGATTTAGATGATAACTTATGTTGCTTGCTTGCAATTGTTTCTGTTGAACAGTTAAAATTTTCAAGAAGATGGAAGACATAGAGACAGATGACACCACAGACAATGGCATGTATAACCTCGTGAGTCAAGGTGCAGTATACCTCTCAAGACTAAAAAAACATTAAACTTACTACATTGTGGTGGTTATGAACATGATTGTTAGTTTATAGTGTCAAGATAAAGAAAAGGAGCCATTTTGACTGTTCTCTGGTGGGAGGTCTGTATGCATTAGCCGTGTATCCCAGGCTTTATGCCGATTCTGTCAGACTCTATGGGAAACATCTGTGATGTAAAAGCTCTGACACTCCAGACAAAATAATCACAATGTCTACTCAGTTTTATTTTATACAACCTGACTTTGTGATTTGTTCTCAAATGCTGACAGGTGACAAAAGTAGGAATTAAACAGTGCATAAAGAGATGAGTGCTCATGGAAATGTGCTTCGTTTTTACGGTTCAGTTCAATTTAAACAAAAAAAAGTTTTATTATATAAATGCAATCAATGTCACACTCTCTTTAAATTCTGAATTTTATTAATAACTGTATATTTTGACAGTTTTGAGAATGTGAAAGAAACTTTTTTTTCTACAGAAAACCTTCCAAATTATCTATTTAAGTAAAATATAAAGAAATGTTTTTAAGTAATTTTTACAAATTGGGACAATCTGTTTATCAGCATCTATTTAGTATTGATAAAAAAAAAGCAACTACTCATTTGTTTTTTCTTAATATAGGGGACGATGATGGAACAAAGCAGCGACACAGATGTGTGCCCATTTGGCTCGGGTTACTATGCACCATTCTTTTGGCTGGAAATATTGGACAGGTTGTCCACTGTGAGTAAATTTTGAGGTGACATTTTTACGGGTAATACGTGAGAAACATGCAGCTAAAAGTAAAAAACCTGGTCAAATATTTCTGAGCAATGTTGCACATTAGCAGCTCTAAATATAGACAACACATTAACAATATTTTATTCCTCAAAAGTTTTCACACCTCTGAAAGATGTTCATATTGGATCACATTACATCTACACTGTCCATTGTATTTTATGCAATAAGCCAACACAAAGTGGTGCATGATTGTGAAGTTGAAAGAAAAAATGATTAATGAATTTCAAAATTCTTTACAGATAAAAATCTGAAAGTCTGATGTGCCTTTAGAATTACTCCCCATTGAGTCCGATACCACAAAATAAAATTTAGCTAATTAGCTTTGTCTTAATGTGTGTAAGTTTAACTTGAGTCTACATTCAATTGGCTCTTCCTCCTGGAAGGAACCAGCTACAAAGAAATTAATATATATCAAAGTTTATTCCTGGGTTAAAATGGTCAAGTTAAAGTTCAAACATGAATCCAATTTAAAAAAAAGAACAGCTGTTCAGGGAAAAATGTCACTATTGACAGATTTTGGTCTTAGGTCATTTCACAAATATACTCTACCTAATGTTTGCTGGTCACATAAAATTAAACTTAAATATATGGAAGTTGTAACATGAGCAAATGTAAAAAAGATTTATGGGTTGGGAAACTTTTGCAAGGCAGCATTGATGGCTTCTTTCATACATTCTTGTTTTTTTTTTCCTCTTAAATGAACCGTCTGGAGACATGTTGCAGGACCACCTACTGATCTGACACTACTCCAGGCAGACATCACTTTTTATCTGAATGTCTCCCAGTTTAAAAAAACCTATAAACAACCTCGTTAAAATCCAGTACAGCTGTCAGCAATCAAAAAACAATAAACAGCTGTCTGCTGGAACTTTTAAGATAGGATTTATTATTATTATTATTATTATTATTATTATTATTATTATTATTATTTGGGAAAATGTTTTCCCCTTTTCATTTGGATTATATAAATCAGTCTATTCATTGAATGTATTTTCATTGAGGTATTTTGTGTCTATTTGTTCTAATTGTTTCTGAAGCTGACTATACCGGCTAAGATTTAAATGCATCTCAATCATATTAAAAGAAAGTCTTTTCAGCAGAATGTCACATGTTGACACACTGTGTTCAGAGTAAATCTCACTGCCATTCTTTGGATTTTTTTACAGATTTCTGTTCACAAGATAAAATATTCAGCTTGTTTGTGTTGACACTGAACTCAGTGGAGTCAGTAATTATTTGATGCTGCTTTACTCCACTTATTTTTTTAGTTAACATAATTAAGATAGTAATAAGCAAACTTGTTGATCACCTATCTCTGGTGGTTTATTGAGAGGCCAATGCATGATCTTACAATGATTTCATTTACATTTGAAGAAGGTAGCAGATATATGGTCAAATGGAACATATTTTAAAGATTAGAAAGACTATAGACACGTTGAAAACATTCAGATAAATATATCATTTAGTACCACATATGGAAGTGGCACAGACTGGATTTATTTCTTAGGTGAAAAGACTGGAACTGGGCTATTCAAACTGCCATCAAAAAATTGGATATGGGGAAAAAGAAAGGCTGCTGTGTGAGCATAACCTTAGTCTACTTTCATTATAGCTAAATGTCTTACAATTTAAGTGTGATTTTAGTATCAAGTCTGGCACTGGGAATAAATATGCAGAATAAACAGCAAATCTACTGATTGACTATTGTTTCGTTCACAGATAAGATTAAATGTCCTGAATTAGTAGATGCACCTCAAGCCAACAACAACAATATGAATCAAAACCAACATGACCTCCTGGCTGCGGAAAACAACAGAATACAGAGTCAACATGATGTCTTATTTGTAGAAAAGCAACAGTTAGAGTTCCTACTGAAGAACCTGAGTGAAAACAACAAGCAGTTGCAGCAAAGTTACAGATCGCTGACAGCAGAAAGAGACGAGTTGAGGTCCATTTTAAGGTCTGAAACAAACAAGAGAGACCAACTCCTGGCAAATTACAGTTGCTTAAAAACAGAATGTGACCAGTTAAAAAAGAGCTATGAAGTCCTACAGAGGACTTTCAATGACTTACAAAGTGATTACAATAACCTGACTGCAGTTATTGATCAGGTAAACTCCAAATACAAAGATCTACAAAGAGAAAAGGAGGGATTACAAACACTATTTTCTCTAGAAGCAAAAAGGGATCAATCAGAAAGCAATTGCTCTTCACTCAGGATAGAGAAGGATCAGCTGCAAGAAAGCTTTGATATGCTAAACAAAAGCAAAGTTCAAATTGAGACAAATTATAGTTTACTCTGGAGAAAAAAAGAGTTACTACAAGCAAGCTACAATCATCTGACAAAGGAAAAGGAGGATCTACAGGCAAGATGCAAAAACTTGACCAACTCTACTGACCTGTTAAAGATGAATGACAAGATGACTGAAAAACCAACTGGTAAGGACTTTCTCTGCCCATTTTAAATCATTCATTTATTAAGAATCATCTTTACTGGCCGAATTGGAACTGAGGGTGTCGCGGCCTGCTGTGCTCCAAAACCAAAATTATTCTAAGTAAAGACTGTAAGTGGTTTGTTTCTTGAATGCACTTCAGACTGGATCGCTTTAACAATACGTCACTTATTTCTAGCAAAAATAAAGACGATAAATAAATTTGTTTTACAAGTTGACAACTTAATCTGAGTTTACAAGTTAAGAAAGTGGTCAAAAAAATAATTTTTAAAAATCCCCCGTCATCACATCTGACAAGACAAAAAAATCTCCACCTTGCCCCCAGTGTGTTATTAATCTCATAAATTAATGTGTCTAAAAGTTTCCAAACTAATCATAAAAATTCCAAAACAAACTAATTTAATAACAGATTTTCCAAACAAACTTAAGTATGTTCTAAGTGTTTAAAGAAAGAACTAGATTTATAGAACTTATGTGTAACCCTTTGTTCAGAAAATTATTTTGACTCAGAAGTTATAGACCAATTGCTATATCAATGGGATTGCAGTACGAACTAAAGTGAGTACAAAATGAATTAAGTGGATGCAGGTAATGAGCAAAAACCAAAATAGTTTTGTAGAAAAGAATTAAAAGAGTTTAACAATCACAGCTGGCAAGAACTATAACAAGAACAACAATAATAATTACAAGCCAGCAAATTAAAACCCCAGTGCTGTTGAGCTCAGTGTTTGTCTTTTTAGTATTTAAGTCAAAATGTGCCTTTAAGTGAAATTCTTTTTCTGTCCAGTGGTTACCACATGGATGTTCACTCTGGAGAGAAGTATGAGGTTCTTCGACGAATCTCCAGTTCTGCTCTAGGCACAGACTTGCCAAAAGGAATCCAGGAATCAGATTCAGAAAAAAAAAAAAAAAAAACTGGCCTTACCCAAAATAATGATATTACTGCATACAGCTAATAAAACCTTTATTCCTGTCTTACGGCTAACTACACCTAAGTTTTTATCTTCATTTCTTGTCTCATATACACGGAAATATTTTACATGCATGTTCTTTTTTTCAATATATATTTTATAGCACATGAAATTATTTTTAACCAGGTAAAACAAATAAATTAAATGTTTTTTAACCATAAAATTATTATTAATGCTTTGTAAGGATTTAAATAAATCATTATTAAATCATGTTTTAAGGTTTTGTAAATCATGACATGAAATACAATTAATTAATCATTCTACCAATAATTTGTCTTTATAGCGCTAATCTCCTTTATAGTCATACTTTGTATCAGTACAACCCTCTCTAGGCTAATAGGTTCATCATTTTATATACTGTAAACTTCATGCTGTTTACAAAAGTTACATTTAACATCAATAAACATTGCATTCAACTGAAAAAAAAAACAGTACAGAAAGAACTTAAAAGTGTTTCCTTATACTGCTGTGAACTTAAATCTTATTGGTTAATACCATATCTTACAGAAATAACATTTCCGGGGCTTTTAATCAGGAATAACTCCACCCGCGACGCTAGCATGACGCTAGCATATTTTCTCCAGCAAGCACAGGGTTTTAACTCACCAAGATTAGGTATCAAAATGGACAGCACGGTTTCCCTAGCTCGCTCTCCTGTCAACTGAACATAACAGATATTCAAAATTAACTTCTGGAAAGCGCAGTTACTTGTTTAGAATACTTTTCAACATTAGAATTCACCAACATATGACTCACAAAGTTCAGCACAGTTTGCCTACAGTCTGGCCTCGTCCATCTTTAAAGTACAACTGACAGTGAATTCGAAGTGAACGTTAGACAGGCTCGCGCTTCCTTTCCAAACCGGAAATAAAGCTAAGGAGATGATCACATTTATTTTCAAAATAAAAGTTTTTTTTGTTGTTTTTTTTTTTTCAAAATAAGAGCTCAAATGCTTTGAAGTGAATAAAATGGCATATGTGTATGTATGTCTGAACGCTGTATAAACATGTTAAAATAGTGCAAATATTGCATATTTTTTATTTCAGAGTAGTAGCTGACTGTTCTGCCTGTAAGACTGCAGGTTATCAGAAGAGAAATGGGGGTGGTTAAAGATATGTGGGTGGGGGTAGAGAAAACCAGAAAATCTGTTCTGATAATAGTCACTCATGAGTGTTAAAAAATGTTTTCCCTTCTTAGAGTTGCCCTGTCCAGCACATTGGAGGCTCTTTGAAACAAAATGTTATTTTGCTTCAACGGTGAAGAAAAGCTGGACTGAAAGCAGAACAGCATGCATCGCAGAGGGAGCTGATCTGTTGATCATAAACAGTCATGAAGAACAGGTGAGGAAAAACTTGTGTCTGAAATACCATTGGCCAGGATCCTTCAACATTTGAAGCTCACAGTGTTTTAAAGAATCTGTAACCAAGAAAATTCCAGTTTGATCAGGATATGTAGTATAATTTGGTTATACTACACAAATTATTTTCTGTGCCAAAATGCACAGAAAATTATTTATGTTGTAAACATGATTACATAATAAAAAAGTTACAAGTTACAACTCATTAGTCCCATTGGTGCAACACTACACAGTCAATCTAGAAAATTGTTCAGGTTAGGCATTGAGTTAGGATGTAAAAAACAAAACAAAGTCAAGAGATCACAAAATTATAAATTGAAAAGGAGCCTTGACTTGATACAGAACCTAACCTGTCAACATATTTCTCAACGTTGTGCTTCCTTATCTCTGCTAAACAGGAATTTGTTGGTGGAATAGTGAACAGTGGGCAAGATGCCTGGATTGGTCTCACTGACAGCCTCACAGAGGGAGTTTGGATGTGGGTGGATGGGACCCCAGTTAACACAACGTAAGTATAATTCATAAGAATAACGAAAATCAGTGTAAAATATGCCTAGATATTGTATAAGGAGTTGATTTAGTTAAGTTAGTTTTTTGTTTTGTTTTGTTTTGTTTTTTTATTTTTGGCTAAACTGCTTCTTCACATTTACAGAGATTCTCTTGTTAGTTCAGAAATAGGTCCAGTTAGTCTGCCCATTCTAACTTTTACTCATAAATAGGATGTATGATATGTATAATGTATCAAACCCTCCACATTATATTGCATTTAATTAAACAACCACTGCCTCTTGTAACAATCATGATTAATGATGATTTTTTTTAAAAAAGGATTTAACTTTAAAAAACAGTCCTCTACTTGAAGGTAAATTAGATTTTTTGTTTTATTGAAATGTTCAATAAATTGTCTCCTTCAAACGCATTTAGATCTGGCTCTTCAAATCTGAATGTGTTTGAAGTGCTTCAGATCCACCTAATAGGATCAAAATTTACAAGGGGAATCCGCAAAGTACCTGGTGTATCCAGAAACAATAAAAGGAAATATATTGTAAAAGAGAAGTAATTTTTACGTTAAATCTCTTGTTTTGTTTTTTTTTGTTTGTTTGTTTTTTTTGGTGTATCAGGTACTGGCTGACTGGGCAGCCCAACAGCTACAAAGGAGAGCAGGACTGTGGAGAGTTGGTGCAGAAAAAATCGGGTGGGAAATGGAACGATGACCGCTGTTTTGCTCACCAGTTATGGATCTGTGAGAAATGAAACCATTATGGTCAAACCAAATGTTATATTTATTAATTTGTGTTTTAAATTAGATCTTCTCTTTTCCTGGACCTCCTTTTTTGTCTTTTCCCTTGTACCAGCTACCAATTGGTGCTATTTCATTTTATGCTGATGACTGCCAGGTTTAATTTCCACTGAAGTGTACTCCTCTTCTTACCACATTTGAAACTTGTGGTCAATTCTCAGTAGTAAGATAATCAGAAGTCTTGAAGGTCAAGGAGTGATGTGCAACAAGAAGTTTGTTGCAGTAAGATGGCGCTTATTTACATGTAAATAAAACTATAAAACAGTTTTTGGGATTTAATTTCCACTTATATGTACCTATATTTTTCTTATTAATTATATACCAAATGTCAGACATGAAATGATCCAGTTTCATTTATACTCAATCTTCTTCACTGTCCAGTTAACATTGATGCTTAGAAACATTCTGTTACAGTTAGACTCACAGCAACAAGTTAAATTTAGAAATCAAGGTTTCACGCAGAAAATGGTCACTGTGAACATTCTGCTTGATTTTTGTTGCATTTTTAACACTTAATAATCTAAAGATAACAGGTGAAGATACAGCAGAACCTGAAACCATCCACAACCCACTAAGTCCTGTGCTCCAACCAGCTGAACTAAAATTTAGTTAAGCCTTGAATTATTCATACCTCAGACCAATTAAGGTGTGAAGTATTCTTTTAATATTGCCAAAATGTTTTGTTTGACTGGAGGTGATGTATACTCTTCTATTTCTTTGTTTTTGTTTTGTTTAGTGAGCACATAATTTTTATTTTGGGTTGTTTTATTCAGAAGTTCAGAGTTTATTGTTTGTAGGTGTAGCCATATTAGTTCCAAAGATAAATGGTCAAAACACCAGCGGAAACATGCAAAAACGCTGGGTAGCATTTATAAGGAGGGTTTGATTGCTGTAATGTCAGTAAGAATTGTTTAATTAATTATTGAGAGCAGTATAAATAATTATGATATGCTAATGGCTTTTTATTTTCTAACAATACTTTTTAAAAATTATTTTATCTTTTGAGAAATGTCTGTTTGATTTTATATCAGAAAAACACTTCTTGATCGAATGAAAATCAATTTAAATCTAAATAATCTGAAGAAATGAGGGCCTACTTATATAGTTATGTACAATACCTAGCAAAAGAGATCCTTACAGTTCACCTCCAGAGTGTGATTTTGGCAAATGGATAGCCTTGCAAAAGTAGTCATAAACTTTCTAAAGCTGTTTAAGATTTATGTTCTCCCTCCAATCTGAGTGTGGGCTGCATTTGTATTAGCTCTTTCAAACATATTTTGAAATCATGCATTATTTGAAAAGGTTGAAATTTTTTGGGGGAAAAAAGAAGAAAAAAAAAGGATACTCAACTTTAATTATTTCTGCCTTTTGAAAAGAGGTGGTGCTCATTAGGACTGAAAAAAGCTGCAGCAGTTTGGATAAATACCTTAATATGTTTTTAACATCCATGCACATAAATTAAACTGACAGATTGTTTAACATCCCGAAGAGCGACTTCAGATCCTTGCTGCATGCTGAACAGACAACCGAGAAATAACCTGAAGCCAACTGCTGATGACGCTCCTCACAGCTTACAGTCCGATTACAGTCCGTTCGTTACATAATGCAGACCTAGGAAGATGAGGGCAGTTTCAAACCCTTTCATATGAGTAGTGCATTTGTACTTAGTGGGCAAAGACACCACGCTCTGGCACACCGCTCGGTTTGGGTGGGGTGGTGGTTCGCGCAGAGTGCGGTTGCTCTTCAAGAGGGGACATCTCAGCCATTAATTGGCCTAAGCCTTTTCATTCCCCTCCAGATCCAAACCGTCTGTGGTTGCGTGGTTAGATGAGGGCAGCCCCCTGGGACGAAGCGCAGCGCTGAGGTTACGCTTTTGGATTCACAACTAAAAATAAAAGATCAAGGAGCCTCTTCCAGACATGCTGGGCTGGTTAGACTCATAATCCAACTGAAAAAAACGCCTGAAAAAGCAGCGGTAAGGGTGTTGCATGTGCACTGGCCTTGTGACCTCATTGATATAAAAGAATAGTTATTTTTACCAAATAAGAAACCTGAGTCAACTATGTTTCTCCTTTCTTAGAAGGAAGCTGGTTTGAGTCCAAAACATATATTTTACACACAACACAGAGAAATTCACAAAGTAGAGCATAATCATGAAGTGATAAGAAAATTGGGCATGGTTTCACATTTTTCTTTATCAAAATGTGAAAAGTGTGGCCTATATTTGTTGTTTTGTATACCTGTAAAAGTAATAAAAAAGTAATTAAAAAAAGTAATAAAAAGTATATTTTTTATTACTTTTGATGATTTATGAAAGAAACGTTTGACTGTTTTTAGCTCTGTATGTAGGAGTAGCAGTTGATATTTTCAAAAACAAATCACAGAAGCAACATATCGATTTGTTCTGTCAACTTTACTGTCTGCACAAAAATTGACTGGCAAATAAAGTGTATTAAATGAGCAATAATGATGACAGTGTTTACAGCCTTACAACAATAATCACTTCAAAATAATGAGAAACGTTTTATCTTCATTGTTCTGTCTTCCATCAGCTCTTTGAATGTGTCAGGATGAAATATTTGTCCTGATGGGATAAAGGAGCTCAGGCTGTGACTGAGCTCAGCCTTTCAGGAAGCAGATAAAAATTCATCTGACAGAGAAAATGAGTCTATTTTTAGAGGCCTAACCGAAGTCCCTAAACTTCCTTGGCATCCTGGATAAACATGAAATTATATCTTGCAACCAAGTCTTGCAGAGGCTGATTAAATGTCATAATTATTATGTATATTATCATGCAATCATCAATCTTACCCTTATGCAAGGTAAGGGAAGGTTTGTGATGGTGATGCTGCTTGGTTTCTGATGGAGATAAGGTGAAATGACACCATCATTCAGCCTGTCACACTCTACACTCTGCATATTAATTAGCCTGTTTAACTCATGAGCTGATCTGAAGTGAGAAAACTCATCAACATGTCACAAATCTGCTACCTGGAGATAAAAACAGTGATTTATTCTGATTGGATGAATTGTTGGTGTGGCTAAACCATAAAATCACTCAAACACTTTTCATGACTCATCTTGTTTTAGTTTGAGATTACTTTTTGAGGTCTTCACTAATTCAGTTATCTGAAATTAAGTTTCATAATCAAAGACAATGTTTC